CAAAAAAAAAAAAAAAAAAAAAAAAAAAAAGAAACATTTGTTGACTGAACTTCGACCTTCAGAACATTTAATACCTCCTTCCCCCAGCATTTCAGCCTTGGAAAGGAAACATTTAGGTCTCCTGCTTTCTTCTCTAGATGCAAAGTAAATGCTTCCTGGCTTATCACAGAATGCTTTGCTTCAGCTATAGTGACAAACCTCGGGGCCTGCTTGATGTTCAGATATTACCACCTGATCTGGTCCAATCACATTTACTGGGTACCCAACGCTCAGTGGGCTGGGAGTGCCAGGCTCTGAGAGGAAAACGATGGTGCCCTGACCCCCAGGTGCCCACGGCCAGGGCAGGCAGGGTGGCCAGGGCCGTCTGGGAATGGCCACAGGTGCTCGGCCCCACTCCCGTTCAGGAAATCTATGCTCAGACATACCTTGTGTCCTCAATCTTTCCATAGTGATGCCACCTTATGTTTTAAGTGAAGTAACAAACACTTCTTTTCCATTTAATTGTCAAGGACAGACTATTCCCACTAGGGGCTGTTAAGATAAATAGTAGAATGCAAACTGGGTGAGTCTGCCAGGATAGCACATGCCAAATGGGACAGTCCCTACCTGTCCATCATGTGTGACACATCTGTGGAGTCCTCAGGGCTGGGAGGGGTGCTGGTCATCTCCTCCAGGCACAGTGACTGGCAGTGCCGACACACAGGACAGGAGGGTGAGGTGAGCTCAACCTCAAGGGTCAGGCACAAGCTGAGGCTTAAAGGGGATTCTGCTAGGAGTGGCCAAGGAGGTGGTGGCAATGACTCCAGGCAGAAGCGACGGGACGTACGAGGCGCGGGGAGGCAGTTTGTTTCGGAGACTGACGACCTGCCGCAGACCACGTCAGGGGCACCTCTGCTCCCCTTCCATGAGTCGCCAGTGTCTCAACTACTGTGCCAAGTCTAGTGGGTTGTCTTTTCAAAGTGCTAACTTACAGGAGTCCCCTATGTACTCTGGACACTCACAGTGATTTTTCAAGAACAAGTGTGACGTCACCACCCCCGCCTGAAAACCCTTCCTGCCTTCTCCTCCCTCTTAGGTTAAGGTCTTGCAGGGTTTATAAAATCCTGTGGGATCTGGTCTCTGCTCACGATGCCAGCCTCATTTTTGCCACTATCCCTCTGCAGTCCACACTGCAGACACACAGAGCTGCTTCTACTTTCTGGAATGTTCCCAGCCTCTGTCCCCTTTGGATTTGTGTGTGTGCTACTCCCAACTCTATTCTCCACACCCTCCCCTTATTCAGGAAAATTCCTATTTATACTTTAGCTTTAAACTCAGACATCTTTTCACTCAGAGGGCCACCCCTGGTTCCAAAAGCGCTGCGCACTGCCCTCTCGTGGCCCTACTGCAGCGTTGGTCCCCGCCCAGGTCCCCGTTTGTGGGTCCTGTGAGGGCAGGGGCTACATTCTCCTTACACACCCAGCGCAGGTGTGCAATGAGTACCAGGTGCGTGAGAGAGTCAATGGGCCAGATCATGAAGAGATTAGATTTTAGCCTAAGGCAGTCAGGAGTCACCCAGGTTTTAAGCAAAGAAAGAAAGAAAGAAATGCATTTAGAAAAAGACAACACAGGTGGCTTAAGAGATGGGAGGGGTTTCCGTTTCTTTAGGCAAGAGAGAGGGCCTTGACGTGCTAGTGGGTGTGCAAACCCATGCAATCTGTTCAAGAGCCACCTATGAAGAACCCGCTCTGTGACATCCCTGGCTGGAGAGTGTAGGGGGCTGAGCAACTAGCCCTAACCCTCAAGGGACTTATGTCCAGACCAGAGAGTACAGACACAAACAGGCCACATGTAACACTAGACAGAACGGTTCAAAGAGAAGATGCAGAACCAGTGGGAAAAGCATGGTCTGGAATACCAGCTCTGACCTTTTACTGAGGGACACTCGCAAGTCCCTTTCCCCTGCTGAGGCTCGGTTTGCTTATCTGTAGAACGGGATGAAGCCGCTGATCTCATGAGGCTGTTAAGGGGGTGCAGGTGTGAACACTGGTGTGCTACCTCACACAGGACCTGGCCCAGGGGCTGAGTGAGTGACAAGGGTAACGGTATCATGAGATAATAGGGTAAGATAAGCTCAAACCCGGCTTCTGTGTTTAGGTTCCAAATGATTTCCTTCCCAGCTGTGTGACTCTGGGCAGCTTCCTTAATCTCTCTGGTCTCAGTAGTCCCCGTGTGTAGAATGAAATCACCCACACCGCAGGCTTATCTGAAGCTTAGAGTTGACACAGGTGAAGTGCTTAGGGTGACTGGCCCATGACAGATGCCCAGCAGCAATGAGCAAGAGTATCTGTGATGAGCCACGTTCTGTGGCCGGTCCAAGGAGGGACTGAGGAGGTTCAGCCGTGTAGGTAGAGGGACGCTTCCTGGAGGGGCTGCTGCAAGTGGGGCTCCTCCAGGGTTCTTTGCACTAAACCACCCAGGAACAAAGGAGAAAATACATGCAAAAGGGGAAGGAAAAGAGGTGTCCTAATGATCATTAGCACCTTGTTTATGCAAAGATCACACGAAACAGAAAACATCTCAGCAGATACTAAAAGTCACTTCCTGCCCTGCATGGTGAGGACGAAAACGTGGGACACGCTGTCAGCAGACCTCTCTCCCGGAGGAGCCCCTCCCTGGCTGTGCTCACCTCGGCAGTCCCTGAAGTCACCGTGGCTTGGCGGGTGGTGCTTGCACAGCCGCTCCAGGACCTGCTTGTAGTGCATGAGCCGCTGCAGCGGCCGCAGCAGGAAGGTGTTGAGCGGCAAGTAACACACCTTCTGCAGCTCGAAGTCTCTGCAGAAGCTCTCCAGTTTCCGGGAGCTCCTGATGCCGTTCTCCAGCGCCTCCAAGGCCTCGCTGTGCTTCCACAGGTGAGCCGCCAGGTGCTTGTGGGGGCGAGAGAAGGAAGGGGTGGGGGGTCCTGGTCAGTGGACCTGAACCTTCATGTGTTTCGTCCAGTTTGACTCGTGGAAACGAAGGGCACCTTTGCTCTCATATTTCATCAAATCTATTTAATTTTCTTAATTTTTTTCATACTTCACCATTCACTTCATTATTTCCACTAAATTCTCAGGATGAAATGAAAAGCTCTACTAAGCTATTTGGCAGTTTAAAATACCCAAGGATAATAAGATATATGAGACATATACATAATATTAAAGGTATAAATGTTCTTTTCAAAATGAGACTAGCAAAACTAAGGAAATATGTGAACAGACGCTCTTTAAGGGGAGGCCTCTGGTTTTCTTCTAAATGTCACAATATGACCAACAGACCAGGGCCATTCAGTAAACCTGAGAGTTAGCAAAAAACACATTTCTGTTCACTCACCCCATTTATTCCTACAATAACTGAGTGTCCACCGTGAGGCCCCACTCGTTTGACACATGGAGGTGAATGAGGACCAGGCATGGTCCCTGCTATACTGGGCCACGGTGGACACAGAAGCAGGGCAGGAAGCTTGACGACAGGACATCAGAGAAGGAACTGCACCCCCAGGGCGAGGGAGGAACTCAAGGGAAGGACACTTCTGGATAGGTAAGGGCTGGGCGGAACCGAGGACACCCCGGGGCATGAGGACAGCAGTCGTCTCCAAGTCTTACTCAAAATGACTTCCCGGGGTAACTTGCTTCTTGTGTGCTGGTAATTCTCAAGTCTAGATGACTAACCCAGACTACGGTCCAATGTCGGGGACACCTCCCCTCCCACGCACCACAAAGAGCTGGAAACACTGCATCCAAACACAAACCTACTACCTCCTTCCTCCACCGGTGCCTCATTTGTTCTAACTTCAGGGCTGCTTACTCAGGACAGAAAAACCCGGGGAGCATTCCAGGTTCCTTCTTTCTTTGAATCCTTCCCTATCAACTCAACCTCCTAAAAACATCAGACCTGTTCCCTTCTCATCCCCACGGTCACTGCCCTGCGTCCTCTGTCATCAGCCACTGGGATGGTGTGTGTGTTCCCGTCCACTTTATTTCTTGTTGGGCCACCAAAATGAACTTTCTGAAATGCTGCCGAGCACAGCCCTTGGGAGGGGATCCCTGCGACCTGTCCAGTGGTGACCTGCGCTACTCCCCAGGCTGGGCATGGGACAGTCTGCACTTGGATGTGCCAGACTCTCGCACCCAGAGCCTCTGCACTTGAAGCCCCCTGCTTAGGACCCCACCCCAGTCCTCAGGGTTAGCTCGGGGCCTTCCCTGATCCCCACTCCTCATCCTCCTGCACTTAATGCTATGTCTGCCCACATCAGCCCTAATCACACGGTTTCCCCTGCTGGGTTTATTTTCTGACTTTCTTTGAGATACTCAGAGGAAGTTGTGAAGAAATGTGCAGGGAGGCACATTTCTCCAGACCCAACCTCCCCAATGGTGACATCCTACATAACTGGAGCGGAATACCAACACCAGGAAGCTGGCGTTCATGCAGTCCAGAGCTTACTTGGACTGCAGCACTTATACATGCCCTTACTAATGTGTGTGCGTGCATGTGGCTCTATGCAATGCTGTCACACGCGGAGTCCCCTATTTGACTTGAGAGAGAGCATCTATCATGTCGCTACATCCTTGGGGTCTGGTGTATGTAGCAGGTGCCCAATAAATGCCTTACCTGCATGCATTAATGAGCAAATAAGAACACTGCATGGACCCAAGCCAAGCAGGGGTCTTGGGAAGACATGCGAGTTCATGGTGGCTGGAAAGCAGACTAGGACATCAGGGTGGGGAGAAGGCATCTGGAAAGGTTAGCCAGGACCAGAGTGCAAAGGCCTTCCTCATCAGGCTTAGAGTGTGGACTGCATTCTCCAAACCGGAGAGAAACAGGGTTTTGAGCAGGGTGAGTTTTGTGTTGTATACGCAGTGTCTCTGGCCATCATATAAATGGTAGGCTGGGAGGATGGTGACAAGGACACTCATTCAGAAGCTGGCCTGGCCACCCTGCAGAGAGAGGACTGAGGACTGAGGCCAGGAGAAGCAAAGTGGGAGGAGTTTCAGGAGAACAGGGGTCAGAAGGTAGATTCAGGAACGAGTGAACGTCCCCGCCTGGATGGCAGTGGAAGAGGCAGGATGAAAAGCCAGAAACTCCTTTTCTTTTTTTTTGTCTTTTTTCGTGTCCGGCAACGGATCGCAACCCTCAGTGTCGCGCCCGTACCAGACCGGGACCGGCAACGGGATCGCAACCCTCGGTGTTGCGCCCGCACCTCGCTCAGCCAGTGAGCGGCCGGTCTGTATGTGGGATCCGAACCCTCAGCGGAAGCGCTGCCGCACTCCCAAGCGGTGCACTGTAGCAGTGTGCCACCGGGCCGGCCCCAGAAACTCCTTTTCTTTGTGCCAACTTTCACGTGCTTTTGTGCACCTGGGTGGAGGTTTGCAGGTGGGTTTGCTGCGTGGCTGGAGATCGCAATTTGGGTACCTCTGACTTTCAGAGTCTGGGAACAGGCGATCAGGATGAAGGCTCATGTCAGCAGGCCCTGCTTAGCTCCTGCAAACGCAGGTAAGGGCACAGGTGGGACAGCAGGGGGCATGAGGACAGCAGTCGTCTCCAAGTCTTACTCAAAATGACTTCCCGGGGTAACTTGCTTCTTGTGTGCTGGTAATTCTCAAGTCTAGATGACTAACCCAGACTACGGTCCAATGTCGGGGACACCTCCCCTCCCACGCACCACAAAGAGCTGGAAACACTGCATCCAAACACAAACCTACTACCTCCTTCCTCCACCGGTGCCTCATTTGTTCTAACTTCAGGGCTGCTTACTCAGGACAGAAAAACCCGGGGAGCATTCCAGGTTCCTTCTTTCTTTGAATCCTTCCCTATCAACTCAACCTCCTAAAAACATCAGACCTGTTCCCTTCTCATCCCCACGGTCACTGCCCTGCGTCCTCTGTCATCAGCCACTGGGATGGTGTGTGTGTTCCCGTCCACTTTATTGGACATAAGTGCTGAGCTGGGATTCTACATCTCTAGAATCTTTAGCCACTTCCTTCTACGCTTCATAAAATTCTTTAAAACCAACAGCAACAATAAAACATTTCCTAATATCTTAAAAAGGCTGCCAGTGGCTCTCACAGCCACTCCATCTATTTTTATTTTGCTTGCACAGAGCTCCACGCTATAAATGCTTGTGGCATCGGCATAAAACTGAAATGCCAGCACAGCCGAGGACACTGGCAGCAAAAGTGCAGGCTCGCCAGGCCGAGGAGAGAGAATGCTAGGAGCGGGAATCGGGTGTATTTTTAGGAGGTCTTCTGCGCTAGGTTAAGAGATGAGGGCAGGACGTCAGGGCCCCATGGGAAAGCAGCAGCGGGGAGTCCGCAGACAGGCCGGACAAGGCCACGGAGGAGAGCTGGGGAACAGCGGAGCCCGGGGGACTGTCCCCGCCGGGTGGGGGAAGGAGCCTGGCAGGTCTCCGCTGCTGTCCCCAAAGGCCCCTGGCAGGGTCCAAGCCTCCCTGAGGAGCTCCCTGGGCAGGTTTATAGTCTCAGATAAGAGGAACGTGGGGACAAAAGGTGAGGACCCAGAACGGGCTGAGCAGAAGGACAGAACACGTGAAAAGAGGCGTCTTGACGGGGAAAATGATGGGTAAGTACAACAGTAAGAAAACCGCGTTACAGAAGAGAGAAAAAAGGCGATTTTTTTAAAAGTGAAAGAAGCCAGTCTGAAAAGGCTACATCCTGCGTGATTCCAACTGTAGGACATTCTGGAAAAGGCAAAAGTACAGAGACAGCAAAAGATGAGTGACTGCCAGGGGCGGGGGAGCACAGGGGACTTTTAGGGCAGGGGAAGTGTTCCGTGTGATTCTGTCGTGGTGGACACGTATCATTACACGTTTGTCAACGCTCACAGCATGTACAACAGCAAGAGGGTAAACTGCGGATTTTAGTTAACAGTAATATATTAACATTAGTTCATCGATTTTAACAAACGTACATCAACGCAAGGTGTTAATTAGAGGGGAGACCGCGCGTGTGCAGGAGGATATGGGGACTCTGTCCTTTGTGCTCAATTCTTCTGTAAGCCCAAACTGCTCTAAAAAATAAATAATACTAAAAAAATACCAGGGAAAGTTGAAAATATGTCGTTGCTATTACCTCTGAGTTTTGTGCACCAACCTTAGTTTATGGCATTAAAAATATCGTTGTGGAACATCTTAGGTAGTTCTTGCTTTTGTTTTTGCTCAGGATTCAACGATCCTGATCACTTCCATGGCCTTTCTCTAATATTGCCCCAAATGGCAGAGTGTTGCTTTATGAACACAGCACAAAAGCGAACAATTCAGAATCTGGTAAATAATATCTTGATCTTTGTTAAGAGGAAGAGACTGACAGGAAGTCTCGAGCAGCTTCTGGTCCTCTCTTTTCTGAGCCACTCCCCACCCCCTGGGCTCTGCTTTGTGAGATGTATTCTTCCAAGGGGAAAAAGTTAAATGCTAAACCAACTTAGGCAGATTCAGAGGAATTAATTCAAATCCCAACAGTAACTTTTATTCTACGAGTGCCTTATATGTAGTAGATACTCAGTTAGTACCGGACGGATGGACAGATCACGAAGTGCTGGATGGACCATAATGGTGGCAGCATGGGGACCTGCCTTCTTTAGGGGGTTATTGCAGGCTCTGGGCAGTTATTAATTATTAAGATTATTAGGGTCTGGGCAGCTGAGATACAGAAAGATTGCTTTAAAGTGTGAATATAGATGTATTCAAAAGAATAACTGTGTGAATTAAAATTCTATATTAAAGTAATTATGAATGGGTTAAAATAAAAACAAAAAAATTAGAATTTCAGGTATAAGAGGTAGGGCTGATTTTTAAAATGTGGTAGAGTACTGACTTAATATTTATTGAATTCTTTGGGCAAGCTTTCACTTTTATATCATTATAGATATTGCTGGATGGTTAAAAATTTATTTGCCTGGTACACTGACAAAGTCATAGAATTTACTGGAATTCCTATGTAGCTCTGAATCTAATAATTTTGTCATGCTTAGAAGAAGCCAAAACAACTGACTGAAAATGAAATGTTCAGTCAACCAAATGATGTTCTGCCTACATCATTTTTTTAAAAAAAATAGTTTTGAGTGATCTGTTCGCAGCAGAAAATACCTGTTATCTTGGGTATAATGCAGGGCTTTTGAAACAAAAAAACCACTGAAAGTGCTTTCCCCAGAGTGACTTGATTGTCCTTTATGCTGTGAAGAACACTATCTGGAAAGGCTGGAAGGACAGTTTTCCACAAAGGGTGTCCTTGCTGCTTTGGCAGACCAGGCGGGCGGGCGGCAGCAGGGCCCCGGCGGCCCTGGCACGATCCTCCTGGACAACTTGCTCCACCCAAACCCCAGCCCGCTCACCTTCATGCCCTGAATGTTCTTCAGCATGACATCGCCGATTCTTTGGTAATCTCCTCTGATGTGGGCATTGGAACGGCCTTCCCTGAGAGCAGAGGGTGGAAACGGGAAGCGTTAGCAGTGCCCGGAAAATGCCCCTGCCCCAGCTCGCCAAATAGCAAGCAACCTCTGTGGCTTCCTTTCCAGTCACCTGCCAAACCCCTCCCTGGAAGTCCCCGCACTTCCCTGGGGGTGACAGAATGTTAGCACTGGAAGAAGACTTTGAAATAACCCCGCTCATTCTGCAGACAAAGAATTCCACATGTGCTTTGAAAGAGGCCTGACTCATTTTTTTCCATCCGCACTTGGGTGATCTTAGCGTCATTAGATTGGCCTGGAGATCACCTGCAGTTACTGGCTCATGAAACTGATTCTGTGCTACAGATGGGCACTAAAGGACACATATGCAACGAGCCTTAGCCTCATAACAAGGTTTCTGCTTCCAGAAGCCCTGAACTGAAGCAAAGAACTGTCTGGAAAGCTCTTGAGGAGAGAAAAACAGAACTGAGAAAGTGCAGGAGACCCACACCTGGAGGTGGGAGTGAGCAAATGGCACAGAAGGGGGCAGGACGGGGGCCCAGGTGGGGGGACAGTGGAGGGGATGGGCCAGGGCCCTCCTAGATGTGCTGGGGGCAGGTGCAAAGCTGTGGGCACTTTCAGCACAGTACAGGGCACAGATTCCTATTTCCTATGGCTCAGTGCTGCAGCCGATGTTGATAATTCAGGGGCTTAAACAGCAGACAGAAAAATGACAGTAATGGTAGAAAGTATTTACTGAGTCCTGTCCGTGCACCCGATGTCGTGCTGAGCACCCCACCGGCCTTAGCTTACTTAATCCTCATGGCAACCTTATGAGGCAGGTACCATCACCACCCTACAGTGAAGGAAACTGAGGCACACTGAAGCTACGGGACTTGTCTATTGTCTGTTATCACGACGTAGTGAGCCTCGACTTGAGTCCAGGGGGCCTAGTTTCCCAGTCTGCACTCCTAACCACTAAGCCAGCGCATACCTGCGAATTTACCCACTGATGAGAAAAAGAATTTCCCAGAGACGATTAAAACACAATTTCAACAATCAACCTGGCTGATGTCTTCAAATCAACTGTTCAGGAGAGTTAAAAGCCAACTTACATGAAAGGGATGAATTTTTTTAGAAAAGCTAAAAATCTGGGCCCAGCTTCAAGTCAGATGTGAGAGGTGCTCACGGTGGAATCAACCAGCTGGCCACCCAAGGCAGGAGGGACCTGCGATGTGCACCCCGTCCCCAGAAGGTAGCCGAACACCCAGCAAGAGACCTGACTTCTGCTGGAGCCTCCAGAGCCTTCCCCAACTGCTGACTCCATCTGAGTCATCACGGATCTTCCGATGACCGAGGACGGCGGGGGGGATGCAGCGCTTCCCTAAGCACACCCAGGAGGTAGAGGGTCGCTGTGAGCAGAGACATTGGGGCCACCTCCTCCCCCGCTCCTGGCTTCCTGTGCCAGGCAGTCCACGACGCTGTTTATTCTCTCGGTTCCAACGAAACATCCAGTGTCAGTTGCATCAGAGGGGACATGGCACACCCAAACCGTGCGAGTGATTCAAGTTTCTCCAGAATAAAGGGACAGAGAGCATCCCTGACGTGCTGTCCCTTCCCGGGGCTCCCAGGGCCCCTCTCCGTGCTGCCCTTAACCTCTTCTGGTCTCGTCCACCCTGACGGAGAAGGCCTCGCCCCTCTTAGCTGCCCTGATTACCTCCCCTCCTCTTCTAATTTAAGGATGGATTCTGTCCCGGCCACTCTGCTGACATGGCTCTGGGGACGACTGCCATCCCCTGCGAACCTACCTCGGTCAGTCCCTCCTCCGGTCGGTCTCGGGGTGACCGGCCCCCCACGTGCTGGTCCTCTGCCATCCTCGGCTGCAGGAAGCCCCTCTCCAGACTCCCTCATTCCTCGTCAGGGCAACTCTCTGGTGCTCTTGGCCGATTCTCCCCTTCAGGCTACTCCCAAGACGTCTGTGTTCTCTGGGAATCCCGTGGTCATTTTCTCTTCTTTTCCCCTCTACTTCCTCCTTGTAACGCCTTCTCTTCTCCTTGGCTTTGATTCATGATGCCAAATCCATACCCGCATGTTCTCCAGCTACTGACCCAGGTCCTGTACTTCTCAGACCTTCCAGAGGGCTCTACACGAATGACCCCACAGGGATCCCAGAGTCAATGATCCCGCTTCCAAAACCGAATCCTCTTCCTACATCCTCTCTCTTAATGATGTGACTGCTCTGCTCTACCCCACGCTAAAAACCTCACTCGTCTCACTTGTCCCTCTTCCTCGTCCCGAACTATCGGATCAGGTTCCCCGCAGACCTGAGGTCACTGGGGACTGCTCAAGCACCTGACTTGGAGCCGGGCTCTGCACTGGAGATCCCCGAGCCCGCTGCTCATCACTGCGCATCAGTCCATCCCATCAGCCGCGGGGGGGGGGGGGGGTGTCTCTGGATTTCAGGCAAATGGTTATTAATCAAATCACTGCTGAGCAGTTTATCATCT